GATAAATAAAAGGTGTTTTATTTATGCTCAAAGGGTTGAGGCCATATGGGATTAGTATTATTCTTGTGTTTCACCTTGCATGTTTTGACTTCCAGAATAATTGAATTTATTAAGAATAATCGAATTATTCGAACGGGCCACAGTCGTTCATATGTTGGAAGTAGATATGAATGAAGACTGTCGTGAATTGGTGTGTGGAAGAAGAGTATTAGACATAAGCAAATGTTTGCTACAACGTTCATGAGTGCTTATGAATATGATTTGAGCATTGGATTAAACCCACGCTCACTTGGATCACTCCATGAATTGTATCACCAGTGATTGGTGAGATGATAACATCTTATATTCTTGAAACCGAGATGTGTGAGTTGTATCTTGCTAATCGGTTGCACATTGATAATATGAAAACGCACTAGTAACTTGGTGTTATAAAACATATTGTTGTGTGTGATTTGGTTAGTGAGCGCAAGCAAGCATTGTATCAAAGTTTATCCGTTCCTTTTATCCAAAGAAGGATAAAAGCGATATCTTTTGGGCCCCTCGATGGTTTAGTGATGACAAACGTAAATGCTCGGCCGGGCTAGGGCTAATTTGATTTGTTCAATTAGTCTGTCATCATAAATCGGAAATCGAGAAGTAGTACAAAGAGAATGATTTGAAATCATATCTCATACGATATCTAGAATGGAGGAATATATGATCCCTTATCTAAGGACACACGTATCTGATAGGATCAGAGTTGACAACGGCTTTGGAAAGCTACGATTGCAGATCAGGATCTGAAGTCATACGCAGAATAGTTATTAGACTTATCCAAGTGGGAGACTGTTGGATTAGTGTCTAAGTCCATAACTACTTTGGTATGTACTTGACCCGATGGTGTATGGTCCTTTTGGGTTGCCTTCACTAAAGCAACTTGATTGGAGAAATAAATAAAGAGAGAGAGGTTATTATGATTTATTAATATGTTATAAGAATAATATATTAAAGGAGAAATCATATTTTCTTAATTAATATTGGTCAATAATTAATTAGGAATTAATTTTGTGATCAAGTGTAATTAATTAAACTAGAGTGGCTGAATTGTAATTATGTGATAGTCACAAAATATGGTGATGGTTATCCTAAATATGGGTTGAACGAATTCAAGGAGATAAGGATCCTTGAAATCGTCCAAAGGATAAAGGATAAGGGTTTTCAAGGCTTATCTTATGGTTGCTTTGTGGATAAGCAACTAGATAAGGATAATGACTGAAACCCTATCTCTACACCTATATAAAGACCCTAAGGCCTTAGAATTCGTGTACTTGTTCCCAAGGAGTCCTAAGGACGAATTCTAACCTCTTTCCTATCTCTTTATACCTTCTCCATTTGCTCTTGGTGTTTGTAAGCCATTAGAGGAGTGACACTTGTGACTCTAAGCATTCCAAAGTCAAATCAAGGAGATTTGGGATTGTTATTGCTACATAACAATCAAGGTAACATTATAAACTCATTCTTATGTTAATATGATTATTTATATGCTAGAATTAGGGTTTATAGTCTTGGATTCAAAGCATGTACAATAGAGAAACATAGATCCAAGCATTAGGGTTTATATGAGCACATAGGATGTCTTATGACCAAAACCCATCATACATAACGTTGGACCCTATAGATTTTCGAATACCCGATCCTACCCTAAGCCCTTCATCAAACAAGAACAGGAAATAAGGCCAAACCAAACATTCTTAGGCTATAAGAGCTTGATTATGTATAACTTATGATGCATACACTGAGTAACTACAGTAATGATGTCAATTTCATATAAGGAAATCTCTAGGCTATTAGGCATCATACAATCAGGAAATTTATCATGCAATTCCTAAAGATCCCTAGCATAGTACTAACATGCTGTTCTAACATATCACAATATTAAATAACCGTATTGAATTATGAGGCCTACTTACTGGCTCCGGCTGATCGCACACTCTGCATCCTCATTTGATATTTTGAAAACCTTTTTGAAAATCATTTTGAAAATCTTTTCCCTAGTTTGAGACTGGATTCACACAAGTGTTCCTACAACTCACTCAAACCAAGGCTCTGATACCAACTTGTAACATCCATAAAAATCACGCCAAATTTGAATTTTTTCAAAACATAAAAAAATCATTAAGTTATTACAATTTGATTTCAAAATAGTATCATATTAGAGTTCCTAGAAATCATAATCAAGATTGAGGAAGTGTACGGTCATGCCTTCGCCTTCCCGCGATCATCCTAAGTACCTGAAAGAATAATCGATAAATGTAAGCTCGAAGGCTTAGTGAGTTACCCCCAAAATACCAACACCATACAGATATAACCATATCATATAAACATATAAGCAAACATCATGCATAATGAGCCTTCAGCCTGAATGGACCGCCTCGCAGGCCTTCAGCCTATCTGGACTGCTTTCCGAGCCTTCGACATGTCTGGATCACATCGTAAGGCCTACAACCTATCCGTACCGCTCGCCGAGCCTTCATCCTAACTGAATCCCTTTGCAGTGCCTTCATTTTCAAATAACAACATAAAAAACATACTTTCTACACATGCATGTCTAATGCATGTCTTGGACTCTATTAGGTCAAAATGAGGGTTTTTGGCCAAATCTTCCATGTATGATGCTAAAACTCAATATTACTCCAGATCCAAAGCATCAAAGGGCCAAAATGACCTGGAGATTCATAAAGTTGCAAACTTTATGAGATCTCACCACCCAATAATTAAGGACATGAAGATTAAGGCATAGAAACCTAGATTTATGCACAACAAACCAAAAAGCTTAGAACTTGGGGACTTACAAGAGTCTAGAAGATGCACAATAAGATAGCGAGAAGAGTTGCTTTCTGAATCCAAGTCTAGAAGTCACGCCCTTCTTCTTCTAAACCCCAAAAATCAACATAAAAAGCTTAGAGAGCAAAAATAGAGATTAGAATTTGCTTGGAGGTTGAGAGAGTGTGATGGAGGTTGAGGGTGAGCAACCCTCGCCATCATATTCTCTTAAATAGGGTGTAAACCCCGAATATTAAGGTTTCTCATTAATCAGTTGCCATGTCGTGGCCATAGGCTGTCATGACGTGGCACTTATTTAAAACAAGTGATACATCGATCAAGACCACGTCGTGAGATGCCTTCACAACGATGTGGTTCCGCCTAAAATCCAAAATACATTAAATTTAAATACCTCCAAGAATCCGGATGTTACATGCTAGTAGGAATTTTTATTTTCCAACCAAAATGCAACCATCCTACATCTCTGAGTTGATCAAAAAAATTTATACTCGTCTCCTATATATAAATGTTTGCTTTAAGCTTTGTTAGGAGTCTCGTCCCACATAACTTCTAACAAAGAAGTTATACCATTCTCATCAGTTATATAAACTTTACAGCCTCTTGATGCTTATATCATGATATTTCAAGTCTAAATTATCTCAAGGTGGTCTATACTCATAAAATCCATAATCGAACCCGAAAAACCAGAAATTGAACTGGGAACCAAGAAACCGAACCCATCATTTTTGATTTCAGTTTGAATTCAAATTATTCAAAACTGAAATTTGCGGGTCGGGTTGGGTTCAATTTTAGCCCAAAACCGACTCAACTCGGCACATGCACACCCCTAGTAAACATTCAGTCTTTATAATTGGCTACTCAGCCCATCCACACCCCTACTATACACTCATAACCCCCCCCCCCCCCCCCCCTTTTTTTTTTTTTTGCAAAATCAATCATTATTGTTTTTATACACATTTAGTCCTTATGATCGATTTCATCAGTTTTGCTTAAATGACATCTTATGTAGGACAATCATTAATGATGTGTTCACATACGTGGTTCATCTGTCACTTATATTAATAACTTAATTCACGAATCGGTCAAATAATATTGGTGCCCTAGTGTTCTCCAAGAAGAAGATGTCTTCTTCGACTTCAGTTTCATCTATCTCTATAGCAGACAATGAGATTCTTTGTAATTGTTTCCTCCCAATTTGACTTGGCACTTCTCAAACAAAAGAACACCATGTAAAAAAGTTTAGAGTATTCCATAATTCTTTTGTATGTGGATTTTAACCATTTTTTAGCAAATGAGTTTTTTTGTTTTTTTCAAATCGACCTTTTTTTGCTTTTTGTTACTAAAGTAATTAGGTAAAAAATGAAAATTGTGGCAATAGGTATATGAATAAGAACCATATTATCATTTTATCTCGTTTTCCCAATTTAAAACGAAATTAGGGGTGATAATTATTTGGTTTGGAACTGAAAAACCAGAAAACCAAATCGAATCGAAATCGATTTTAGACAAGACCATATTCAAATTCAGTTTTTGGTATGGTCCGAGACCAAACCGAATTGCGAATTTGGTTTTTGGTTCTAGTTTCGGTCTATTGGAGTTTAAATCAAACCGAAGCAAAAATCATTATAGCCCATTTACTCTTTTAACCCATTTGCTATTTTACCAATGTATAGTTCACTTAAATGACTTGATCACTTTTCACAGTTCAAGGCTTCAAGCCCTCACAAAAATCCGATCGTCGATACTCGATTCCTTTGTCCTCATTTGCCATTCCTGTTCATTCAAGTTTCGTCCTCACGAAAATCCGATCATCGGTACTCGATTCCTCTGTCCTCATTTCTATGTTTATAACATTGTATTTTATGTTTGGAAAATTGCAACACTAATTTTTTTAAGTTAATATTTGGTTTCCTCGGTTTTCAAACCGAATTAGAATCTAGTTTAAGTTTGGTCTAGAGAATTTGAATTTGATTTGGACCGATTTTCGAATTAAACAAAAAAAATTATACCGAGAAACCCGATTCGAAGAAACCAAAAAACATGTAAACTGAACTAATTCCCACCCCTAACCTAATAACAACCACAATTAACATTTCTCTAAATTACTCCAAAGTCTTTTTTTTTTTTTTTTAATTAATGACAAGTTAATATATTCTTAAATTCTCACCTATGTCTTCACCTCAATGCGACTTGAATCTATAACCAATCAATTGAAAAATCGTTAATTACCGGTAATCACATGGATACACAAAAGATTTTTTTTTTCCTAATTTGTGTTTTTCTTTTGCTATTTTTGTAATTTAAAAAAAAAAAATGGCATGCATACATGGATACACTCTTGTAACTTGTAAGCATTACAAATCCTTAAAAGTTTCACATGCTTTATAATCTACATTAGAACGTTGGAAATATAAAGCTTCTTTCCTGTACTTCAATATTTGCATCTTCCATAACCTGACATCAAAATTCGAAAAAGTTAGTAGTAAATCAAATAATATATTCATAGCCATGAGAAATCAATTATCACATTTCTAATTCTAATAACAATATCACTTATACTATTAAATTTCTCATTTTCTATTAAACAAGTAACATGGCAACTTTTACACAAAATCGGTCATATTATGTTAGCGATATATATATATATATATATATATATATATATATATATATATATATATATATATATATATATATATATATATATATATATATATAGTTTCAGGTTTATTTGAGACCATTATAATTTTGTGAGATCGTGATACCAAATCTAAAAATAATTTTAAAATGCAAAATAAATGAAAAAATCCAAAAAATCTTTTTTTAAATATTATTTTCGGAACTTGAATTAACTAAAAAAAATAAAAATAATAAAAAATAAATAAAAAAAATCTTTTTTTTTTTTTTTGAAAAATACGTGAAATATTCTAAATAGAATATTACACTAACATATTCTAAAAAATAATTTTAAAATGCAAAATAAATGGAAAAATCTAAATTTTTTTTTTAAATATTATTTTCGGAACTTGAATTAACTAAAAACAATAAAAAAAATTCTATTTTTTTTGAAAAATACGTAAAATATTCTAAATAGAATATTACACTATACATATTCTAAAAATAATTTTAAAATGCAAAATAAATAGAAAAATCAAAAAATTCTTTTTTTAAATATTATTTTCAGAATTTGAATTAACTAAAAAAAATTTAAAAAAAAAATAAAAAAATCCATCTCAAAGTCTCACAAAATTAGACCGTCTCACATGAACTTAACTATATATATATATATATATATATATATATATATATATATATATATATATATATATATATATATAATAAAGTAAATAAATGCAAAGATTGATACCTGGATTGCTGGAAGTTATGGCTCCGGTGCTTCTAAAATCACAATCATAGTCATGCCGGCCGGTAGCTTGGTAATAGACGTTCATGGCGTAGGCAGCATGGGCTCGAACCGAATCAGGGTAAAAGCATCTCCCACCTTTGCTTATTGGCTGACAATCAAACCCTAACCCACATACATAATCAATATTCATCTGTAAAACCTCATCACTCGCTCCACTTCTCGGAATACACCATGTTTTCCCGCCACCGCCACCGCCATTGTTTCCCGCCACCGGAACTCCTCTCTCTGGATTCCAATTTGACGGCGACTTTGATCCCGCCTATCATAAGAAATCCAACAAAACCCTGTTAATTTGAATGATGAAAACTCAAAATGCAGAGTTACTTACCTTGTGCCTTAAGATGCCGGAGTTATAAACAGATGTCATATCCGGGTGGAAAAGCCCGAAGTTTCTTTCCGAAGTCGGGCCGGGTTTTTGGTCTTCGTTGAAGAGTGCAAAAATGTAAGTCTCGAAAGTTCTATTGGGCATGAGTGGTGTCCCGAGACCTGACATAACATGTTTGATGAGGTTGCCGTTGAATTCACGAGCACTCTCTGTATCAACACCGATTTGCCCGGGATCGCCTCTCGACGGCCACCCAGTCTCGGCGATAACGATCTCCACCTCCCCCAAAACCTAGCTGCTTCATCGCTGAATACGTAGCGTCTAATTGGGCATCTAACATGTTTGTGTATTTTCTCTGACTCATTTCGTCGAACACCCCGGAGTTGGGTCTAAACATGGCATAATCCAGCGTGTTGCCGGAGTATCCGAAGAATGGATAGGGATTAATCATGAATGGTGAGTCTGTCGCTCGTAAAAAAACCAAGTAATTGTCTGACCACCTGAACGATATTCCCCTGTTTAAATCTCCCAGATGAAGGTGGGCTTGAAGACGAGAGAATGCTTAATGAATGTGGTGTGGAGACCTTGATCCTACGGTGCAGATCCTCTCCGACTAGAGCCGCGTGGAGAGTCTGCATCGCCGGAACAAGGCTAGAGACGACGGAGTTATCCGTGGTGGAAAGGACTTCGTTCCCGACGACGATGCGGACTATGTTGGTGGCTGGAACGTGAGGTGCGATATTTGTTTTGACCCATTGTTGGGAGAACTTGAGATTTGTTAGATTTGGGATTAAGTTGTTGGGGACAGCAACAGTAATGGCGATTCCAGTGTGCGCAAAGGCTTGAAGGATTTCCTGGTTGGTGTCGTAGAGCTTCACACGGTTGATAATGGTGGAATCAAGGAGGAAGCGCGCCACTTGTGCCGGTGGTGGTAGGTTGTCGGCCACCGTGCCATAGTTTACACCGATGTTCCCTTTGATTCCTGAGATAAAAGACCACGGTTTCCCATCATATTTGCAAGTTTTGCGAATTCATCATTATATTTGTAGAACATCAAAATATAACACGCTACTCTTTCTAAATAATGAATTTGCAATAAACAATCGTGATATCGAATTTTTAGCAGTTCAAAAAATACGATGAAAACGGAAATATTTAATTTCGATATGGTATAGCTAACAAACTTAATCTGTTAGTTTAATATAGGAAACTTTCACAGAAATCATTATGTTTTTTAGATTTTTATTATTTCATAATATAAACATTTATGTTTCAAAAAGTTATGGTCTTATGGATCATGGCTATTTTAACATCAAAATAACAAAAAGTGACAACAGACAATCACCAATATATCAATTTGATTTTTTATAACTAAATACTATATGTTTCTAATTAATTACTATTTGATTATTATTTATCATCATTCAACATCATTCATTCATTGGAATGTATACTTATTTTTTCTTTTTTCTCTTTTTTATTGAACGGTCAATATAAATATTGAACAATCAAATTACTTTTAGGTTTTGCATATATACATCTAAGAGATTTCATTTAATATATATTACATTTTATTCTTGTCATAATATTAGGTGTTTTAAATATTTGATTTTTGATTAATATTTAATTTATTCTACTAATCTTTTAATGATATTTCATTTACAAAATAAAAAAATTATAGCAAGTTATATAAAATTTATATTATTTTTTTTATATTTAGAAAATATGTTTATAAAAAAGTTAATGACGAAGTTTTATAGAACATTCTAGATAGATGAGGATAAATTATTTAAATTTGTATATAAAAACTACTGAAATAGATTAACCACCGATTAGTTGTTAAAATAAGTCAAAAAAAATAAATAAAAGAGACAATAATTTTAAATTAAAATATATGCTTTTCCGAGTAATTATTGAAAATAAAATGGTTTTTGTTAAATTAACCCTTTAATTTATCACAGAAATGATTTAAAGTTCGTAAAATAAAATTACATGATACTGGAATCTTTAAGATTTGAGTTTTGGAAGCACTTTAATTGTTCCAAGTTAATCCAACAATAAGCATGAAGTATTATTCAATGTAAGTATTAGATAATAGAATAAAATCTAAGTAAATGAAAAAATATATATAATCATATTTTCTTTCGTATGTTACATACCTTTAACGAGGAAAAATATGAGAAAAAGTGGAAACGGGGTATGTAGGAAAGAAGTTACGGGTTTCTCCATTTGAGGCCAAGATTGAATGAATGATTCAAAATAAAAGTCACGTCTATATATAAACTAATAAAAGAGGAGTGCATCAAGGAGATGCTTTACTTTTGTTTATGGGTTTTATCTGAAAGTGAACAGTGGTTTATTATAGTATTTTTTAGGCAAAGATGGATTTGCATCTTTTAACTTGGCAAATCAAGTTTCTTATGATCATTTTGTTAGGAATATGGTATTGGTACCTTACCCACAACATTAGATCTTGCACACGTGTTGGTGTTTGTATATGTGATATTTTTTAATTTATTTTTAGAACGATTTAAAAAAACAAAAACAAATAGGAAACTCGCCATATACAAAAAGTATCTAAGTATCTAAAAAATACATAAAACAAATAGAGTAGACGAGATATAACTATGCAATATTCTTTTACGAATTAATTACATGTTATTAATTTCTTTTTTAAAGTTTTTTCTAACGTACACCTGATGGACGAGTAAGTTACATTTATTTTTTTGGTTGTATACATTGTCAATCAAAATGATTTTTTATGGAAAGTATAACGAGTTCTACGTATGTAGCAATAAGTTGCAAACAGAGGAAGATACAAACCAAATATTATTAAATATGTAAAAATTTCCAATCAAATGAACATGTTACTAACATATCGATCAAAAAACTTATATTTATAAATATTAATAAAATGAATAACATATGAGTATTCACTATATTTCAAGTAGTAAACAAACAGTTTTTAAGTGACAAAAACATATATTGAATAAAGTTTCTAAAGCAAAATTGTAGACTAACTGTAATAGAAATATACTGCGCATCCGGGGAATCGAACCCCGGTCAGTACCGTGGGAGGGTACTATGATACCACTACACTAGATGCGCTTTTTGTTGTTAAATTTGTTATAAACGTAATAAACCATTAAAACAACATTTTTATTTCTTAAAAAGAAACTTTATTATAACGTATCGAAAACAAACAAAACATTATTATAATTTAGTGATTTAATTTGGAGCACAAGTAATTAAAAGTAATTATACGGAGTTCAATATCAAAACTGTTTCACACAGAATATAAAATTCTAAAACAAAAAAAAGTCCTTACTCTTTTAATTCCACATCCCAATTCAAGTCTTAATACTCACTGATATTTATATTTATAGATTTGAAATTTGTTTGAATACATAAAGAATATATAAATTGAGGGTTTATGATTATGTTATTAGTTACTAATTATTATTTAATACAAATAAATATGAAATTTGTTGCAATATGTAAACTATAAATAACACTACATTGAATTTGATGTTTTATAAGAATTAAAACAATGTAATTACTCGTGAAATTAGGCAAAATCTATAGTCTCACATTAAATATGGAAAACAACATATACAATTATTATACATATTCAAAGGCACTAGTGAACAGTGGTAGTTTTGAGCTACGACTATACTCTTTTTCTTGTGGCTAATCTCCTTCCATGTTTTTGCATACATTATTCGTCAACTCTACTTTTGGTTTCTTCTCTGGCTTCACGGTTTCTTCTACAGGTAAATGTCTTTTTCCTCTAATCCAATCCTCTAACCTTTGTTTCTTCAGTAGGGTACGTGGTTTCTTCCTGTAATTTCAGTTCTTCAGATCTTCCCACCTTATTTAATTCCTCAATTTTGCGTCTTCCCCAACTTCCCACGTTATTTAATTCCTCGATTTTGTGTCGTCCCCAAATTAGGTTTCGACCTCTATGCTTTCTAGAATCGTATGGGTCGATTTGATCCTATGGTGCTCTAATGTTGACAAATTCACCACCATGTCAAGTGAAGTGTGATTATGGTTCAATCTTCATACAAATTTGATATTGGTGCATGCTTTTACAATTTATATTCTTGAATTACATAAGGAGTTGAATCGATTCCACTCCCCTGTATCTAAGTTTGATTTCTATTCCCATTTCTTTATTTATTCATTTTAGAAACTCAAACCCCTATTATGTGCTCATAAAAAAGAGAAGCGACGACGAGATGGGAACTGATTCAAAGCATGAAAGGGAGATAGACGGTATTTGGTTGATTGAAATCGAGAGATAAAGGGCATAAATTGTGTGTTGAACACCATTGATTCATTTAGGTATATATTTATTTTAAAAAGGAAAACTAGAGATTTTATATTTGTTAATAATTATTTGATATAGAAGAAAAGATAAAAGAGTGATGGAATTTGTTCCCATTGTTTGTAGGAGGATTGATGATTGGCTGATGTTGAGGACTTAATGGTGAGCTCAACTTTACAACTTCATTGTATTGTCTTTTCCAGATGCAATAGAAGTAGAAGGAATAAGACGAGTCATGTTTTTAACCAAATGTTTGTCTTTTACAACTTCAACTTCATCTGGAATAGATGAACTACTAACATCCGGCCTATTTTACATTTGCATACTTTTGTCATCTCCACCTTTCTCGGCTCCTATCCTTCTGTCGTCTGCTATTTCTGTTATATTGATAAAATTTGGTAAATTTATTGGTGGATTTTTGATTTTCTTTAATTTAATGTGTAACGCTCCATTTCCACTTAATGATTTTAAAACATGGTTGATAAATAATAATGCATATTTATATAATTAAAGACTAAATTTTATAGGTTTTGATAGTGAACTAATTAAATAAAAAGAATATATAAATGCTAAGGGGTTAAATAATAATAATAAAATAATTATAATATTAATAATAGCCTTCGAGTAGGAGATCCCGAGTCAGTATTTTGCCCGCAAAGTTCCCAGCTTTTCACTAAATCATCTGTAAGTTAAGCTACACTTTATCATTTTTAGTATAACTTATTTTTATGGTCATAAGTCGTTATTATGAACCTATAAATAAGATTTATCAGTAATTCTATTTCGTTATACTGATTGATCTATTTACACGAGTGATGTCTAAGCTGTATTTAGTGAGGTGTTTAAAGTGAGATTTTCAAACAGTATACTCTGTATACCAAACGGACCCTACATTCGATATGATCATACCTGATTATTCCTTATTTAGATATTGAGGTAGACTTTAGGATTATTAAGGAATCTAAACCTTTAGGATAATAGTTCCACGAAATTAGACTAAGACTTAGCTTTATGTACATCTAGGTATCTTGGAAAAAGGTGTAAAGCGAAGCTATGCCCAATTCACCAATCATCAGTCACCATTTTTATCAAGTGGGTGCACAATCTCTTTCATTAACATGATTTAATATAAGTATTAATTAAATATCAAATATCTATTGGAAGTCGTATGTGAATTATGTGCTTATTACTTGGATTATATGTTAGGATATATAGATACACACACACACACATAGCATGCTATGTGCGAACCAAATATGGTTCTATTTTATGTTAGAATAAATAGATAATATTATATAATAATATTCAAGGCAAAAAAAAAAATTTAGAAGATAAATAATTAATAATGCCTAATACTCTTATGTAATATATATATATATATATATATATATATATATATATATATATATATATACACACACACACACAAACACACACACACACACTAAGATAGGTTAGTTCCGCCAAAGAATAAAATTGTTATTAAAACGTTGGTTTTAGACACTGTAATCTAGTATATGGATAAACTTAGACTCATGGAAGATAGCTTGCTCAATTAAGTTTGATATTGGATAGTCTCATTCGGAGAATATGTGAAACCTAGGAACGGAGAGTAAAGTTCTTTCCATGATACTATCATGTGTTGATGTACGGTAGCTCCATACTGGATGACCAGAAATGATGGGTCTCGATCAGGCAACAGTTAGTGGTATGTCTAGTCACCCCCATAGTAAGTGACAACACTTGATCATTCTAGACGGTCTTGTGAATTACATTTTTAGTGTAAGCTCATCACTCACAAACATAGATGAATTGGAAAACCATATTCATCAAATACTTTGATGACCCATAAGCCTTTATGACTTACACCTACAAAGGAAGCCCCTAGCTGTGTAGTCAACAATTCATCATGGAGATAATTTCCCTTTGATAATCGTTGTTCAGGATCTGTGAGGATCGATAGAAATGGTTAGTCTAGGATCTGTGAGGATCAATAGAAATGGATTGTCTAGGATCTCTAAGGATCGATAGAAATGGATAGTCTAGGATTTGTGAGGATCGATAGAAATGGATAGTCCTGGATCTGTGTGGATCGGTAGAATGGATATGTAGGAATGGTTATTGTCTGGTTACGATTAGTTTGCATGTATGATAATTATGGAATATTATCATATCAATATCATGGGATTGAAATCCCTATGTATATCATCAGGTATCCCCAACTTGACCCACTCAATTCATATGCGTCATAGGTATCAAGAATTAAGCCACTAGAACTTGATTAGGATCCAGTGTGATTAAGAGACAGCTTGTAATAGTATTAAGGACCATCAGGTCTTTACGTTGTAATGTAACGACCATAAAATTTCAACCAATTTTAACTTTTCAAAAACAACCCATTTTCTTAATGTTATTACAAAAAGGTTTTCAATACAATTATTATCAGGGTCTTCCCATAATCACATCATAAAACATAATTATGAGGAGTGGTACGATCACGCCTTTGCCTTGCCAAGGTCTCCTGAAGAACCTGAAAAACATTAAACCACAACTGTAAGCCCGAAAGCTTAGTGAGATACCCCCAAAATACCAACCATACATACCACACACGCATAACATGCTATATCATATCAGAACACAAAACGACAATGCACTTCGGGTCTACTATGTGACTGGTCTGCCGCACCGGCCTTCAGTCCACCTGGTCCACCATCCGAGTCTAGCCATACATATCGAGTCTACAGTGTGATTGGTCCGCCCGCACTGGGCCTTCAATCCACCTGGTCCACTCTCTGAGTCTATAGGATGACTGGTCCGCCCGCACCGGGCCTTCAGTCGGTCTGGTCCACTCTCCGAGCCTCGGCACGTCTGGTCCGCCCTCTTGGGGCCTACAGCCTATCCGGACCG